GCTTGTGTATGTTTCTTCTTGCATGATCAATCCTTTGGCATGGGAGCAGATGGCGAGGAGGTTCCTTTGGGACAGCTTTGGACAGTTGAGGACATGCTGCTTTTTGCCTAGTCTCCTTGGGATGTATTTAGTTGATTCTGTATTATGAAATCTAATTCCCTTTCAGCTTACAATTTAGATCCCTTGAGAGTTTAAGCTTAAACTCTGAAGCTATATTGAGGATGACTGTAATCCTATTTACTCTCAACTGCTTTCCTATATTATGCATGATGACGTCTTTATTATATATGCTTTCTATATTGGGATGTCATATTTTTAAATCAAACAAAATGTTTAACATAATATTAAGATAGTTTCAACGTAAATTTAAAATAATATAATATTATTTTATATTTTTTAACTTTTACTTGATTACCTTATTTGAGTACTGTATCTATTATTGCATTTACAATAAAAATAAATAAAAGTTAGGTTCGTATTAACGCTGAATATATTTTGTTAAATATTATGGATGAATTAAAAAGTAGGCATTAAATATTTGTTGATTTATATAACACAATTTTTTAACTAGTGAAGATAATTGTAAAGATACAATTATGCGAGAAACACATGAAACAACTAACGCCTTATGCAGTGCATTTAACAAATATAAATGAGTTTATAGTTTAGACCTTTAAAACAAAACTACAAATGTGTTATTGACATAATTATATAATATATGATTCTCTGTAGGTTTAAATTAGAATAATCATTGAAAAGAAAAAAATATTTTTTAGCTCTACTATCCCAGGAATATGTTTTTTTTTTTCTTTTGTTCTAGTTTTAATCACTTGTTTTTGTCTTTGTTTTCAAATTAAATGATCACAATGACACATGATATTATCATGCATGTTTCGAATGACAATGTTATTTGATATAATATGATAAAAAAATATAGAAAATAATACTAAATGTTGATGAAATATTTAATGTCATAATTACCACAAAATTATAACTTCTATAGATAAACTTAATATCACAAAAGCACATAGATATATAAGATTTCATTTAGTGAAGTAATTAATCCTATTGATATTATTTATTTTATGTAAAAAAATAGTTATATCACATAGAAAAATAATAGTAATAGTTACACGAATAAACAACATAATAACTCTCCTTTATATATATATATATATATATATATATATATAGTTATTATAAACAACAACAAAATAGCAAAGTTGGAACTTACCCCCTCCTAGTTTCATTCGAAGAAAACTTCATTAATAGTTACGGAACTCTGTCTTTTGTTATGAAACCCTGAAAAAGAATTCGGATCTTTGAGCGTGCAGGAAAACATTCCACAATGTGTTTTTGGTGCACTAAAACTCGGGCATAATAGATCTATATAGAGATTTCTGATGATTTTGCCTTTCCCTTTTCCTTTCTATTTTCATTTGTAACCCGGTGCAGATTTTTAATATTTGCAGAACAAAGCATCACGTGTCATAGAGAAGGTAGCAACTCTAGCTACATGAATACACATATCTACGTAATTGTGTTCATGTATTTAGGTGTAGTGTAACCGTGTGTCATTATCTACCTTGTTGTCAATCCAAACCCCAAAATTTGGATGAGTTTTTGTGACATGAATAGCATTATCTATCTACCAAAACCATGAAATATATGTAGCATTTTTCTTATGATGCATACTATTGTATGCAGTTTTTGAACTTGTAAACAGATTTGCTTTTAAATATGTAGATGAAACGAGTGAAGATCAAGATCTAAGGATGAATTTTATATATAGTTTTTTTTACTAGTTTTGCTTAATGCATACAGAGAAAAAGGTGTCTTTTTTTCTTCCCTCCAACTCCAGTATTCCCTGTCTAAAGAATCTGGTTTTTGTGTATATGGTGATTCCACATTTTGTGCTTGTTTGAATAAGGGTTCTCAGGATACTTTCAAATGATTGAACATAGTTTTAGATAATGGTATTTTTATACCTATGATTCTGGATGTACATTTAGAAGGGAGCAATGGTAATCCAAAGATGCAATTGTCTGCATGCATACTATTATTTTGGTAGCATGTAATGTGCAGGCATTGATTTGTTTGATTTGACATGAAACAGGATGGATCATCAAGGACATGGGCATGGGCAGAATCCATCTCTGGGAGTTGTTGGGAGTGGAACTCAACTCACTTATGGTTCTAATCCATACCAGGGCAGCCACATAACAGGTTCACCTGGGATGGTTGTTGCATCACCTGGGACCATTCAATCCACTGTTCAAGCAGCCGCAACTCAACTAGGACAGCATCAACTTGCTTATCAGCACATGCATCAGCAACAACAACAACAGATGCAGCAGAGACTTCAAGCCTTTTGGACAAATCAATATCAAGAAATTGAGAAAGTGACTGATTTCAAAAACCACAGCCTTCCTTTGGCAAGGATAAAAAAGATTATGAAGGCAGATGAGGATGTCAGAATGATATCAGCTGAGGCACCTGTCATATTTGCAAGGGCATGTGAAATGTTCATATTGGAATTAACCCTGCGTTCTTGGAACCACACTGAAGAGAACAAAAGAAAAACACTTCAAAAGAATGACATTGCAGCAGCCATCACAAGAACTGATATCTTTGATTTCTTGGTTGACATTGTGCCTAGGGAGGACTATAAAGATGAAGTGCTTGCATCAATGCCAAGAGGAACTGTACCTGTTACAGCTCCCCCTGAGGCACTTCCTTACTGCTATATGCCTCCTCAACATGCACAAGTAGGAGCTGCTGGTGTCATGATGAGTAATAAGACTGTGATGGACCCTTATGCTCAACAGTCTCATCAATACAACATGGCACAACAAATGTGGCCACAACCACCAGAACAACAACAATCATCATCAGACCAGTAGCTACTAATTATAAAAGGCACTTCCTTGTTAATTAGTTTTCCCAGGATTTAAATCTTAAATTTGGTGTTGGACTGTTCATTTCAGTACATTATAGTAAAATTTAAGTCTGCAGTTTTTGAGTTGTATTTTCTATATTTTTCCTATTCACTCTCAGATTCTTAATGTATGACAAATATACAAACTAATTAATTGCCAATAATGTTTATGCTTTATCAGTTATAGTTGCCCTTGATGTTGGTCTCGAAACTGCATTATGATTTGGGTAATTATTTCAATTTGACTTTGCATTGGTGAAAACATCTGGCTTTTAGATGTTATTAGTAACTGTCCTGTCTTGGGTTGAAGATGAAGCAGTCGATGTTGTGATTGAACTGTTGGATTATTAAAGTAGTGAATGTTTCAATAATCAACCATAGTCAATTCTATAAATAAATTATATAAATGAACTTCATAATTTACCTTCTAAATTTCAATTACTTTGATTACTCTTTTGCTAGAAAATACACATATTGCATGTTCCTGTTATTTTCTTCTGAGAATAAGTATATGATTTGCTGAAGTTCCACATTGGTTACTTCATTGTGTATGTTGTTAATAATAATAATAATTTTTCCATTTCACTTTTCATCTGTGCTTCCAACGTTGTTTTGTAAAAACAATAAAGACATTACATTTTTTTAATTATAAAATAAAGCAAATGTTTACTTTTATATTTAAAAATGTATGGATACAATTAATAAAAAAACAATCAGTATGATATTATTTTTACAAAAAGATAAATAAATACAATAAAATCATTTTCTAAAAATTCAACACTGAACAAAAAAAAAGAAACATAAAGAAATGCATGTTAAGGTTTTAGTGTGAGCTAGAATAGCATTTTAAGTAATTTAACCCACTTATCATGATTTTTTTTTTCAGATATAAATATTTGAAATGAAATTAGTTGATAAAATAAAATAATAATTCTGTTTGATCTTGTTTGATCGAATTTTACTGGTTCACCATGTCTAGTAACCAATTCCAATTTTAATTGACTGAATGTTACCAGTTGTTGTATTTTCTTACATAAAAATAAATAAATTTGTTTGATAGTTACATAATGGGATGTAGAAAGAACAAAAAATTAACCGCATAAAACACAAATTTCAAGTAAATAAATTATTGATCTTAATGCTTAAAATATCTAACTTATCTGATTATTATTGTATTGGTATATAAAGTTTTAAAAAAATATATTTATAAAATATGGTTAACAGTAGTTTGACTTATTGAGTCTTTTCTTTTACCAAAAAGTAAATTACAATATTTGTTATATTATATTTTTTTTCTTATAAAAAGAACTAAAGATAATAATTGAAAATTAGGGTATTAAATATGAAGAACAATGCATCTTCAACCATAAACAACATATATTAACATATTTAACTAATACAAATAAGAGAGTGTGTAAAAATAATATATATATAT